TGTGTTCCGCGGTGTTCCTCATGTGTTCCGCGGTGTTCCTCATGTGATCCTCAAGGAACAAGCTTGGAACACCTTGGAACACGTGTTCCGGGTCGTGTTCCTCGATGTTCCTCATGTGTTCCTCGGTGTTCCTCATGTGTTCCTCGGTGTTCCTCATGTGTTCCTCAAGGAACAAGCTTGGAACACCTTGGAACACGTGTTCCGGGTCGTGTTCCTCGATGTTCCTCATGTGTTCCTCGGTGTTGCTCATGTGTTCCTCAAGGAACAAGCTTGGAACACCTTGGAACACGTGTTCCGGGTCGTGTTCCTCGATGTTCCTCATGTGTTCCGCGGTGTTCCTCATGTGTTCCTCAAGGAACAAGTTTGGAACACCGTGGAACACGTGTTCCGGGTCATGTTCCTCGGTGTTCCTCCTGTGTTCCTCAAGGAACAAGCTTTGAACACCTTGGAACACGTGTTCCGGGTCGTGTTCCTCGATGTTCCTCATGTGTTCCTCGGTGTTCCTCATGTGTTCCTCAAGGAACAAGCTTGCAACACCTTGGAACACGTGTTCCGGGTCGTGTTCCTCGATGTTCCTCATGTGTTCCTCGGTGTTCCTCATGTGTTCCTCAAGGAACAAGCTTGGAACACCTTGGATCACGTGTTGCGAGTCGTGTTCTTCGATGTTCCTCATGCTTTCTTCAGTGTTCCTCATGTGTTCCTCAAGGAACCAGCTTGGAACACCTTGGAACACGTGTTCCGGGTCGTGTTCTTCGATGTTCCTCATGCTTTCTTCAGTGTTCCTCATGTGTTCCTCAAGGAACAAGCTTGGAACACCTCGGAACACGTGTTCCGGGTCTTGTTCCTCGATTTCCTCATGTATTCCGCGGTGTGCCTCACGTGTTCCTCAAGGAACAAACTTGGAACACCTTCGAACACGTGTTCCGGGTCGTGTTCCTCATGGAACAACAATGGAGCAGGTGTTCCTGGTCGTGTTCCTCATGGAACAACAATGGAACACGTGTTCCTGGTCGTGTTCCTCATGCAACAACAATGGAATACGTGTTCCTGGGGAAGTCGGACAGTCTGGCGAAAACCCTTTTGGCTAAAAAAATTCGCCAAATAAAAATCCCGTTTGGCGAATAAAAACTTTCACCCACTTTACGGCATTTTTAGAACACGGGTTTCAAAGTACCTTTTGGCGAAAAAACTGTCACATTTGGCGAGAATGAAGATTTTATGAGTATCTCAAATCATAAAGATAATACTACAAGAATTTACATATTTTCTTTATTGTCATATCTTATGTATTTGAATGAGCACGCGAAAGATTTGTGAAAGAAGACTTGATTCTACCACATCACTACTCATTTTACGATCTTATCGTTACCAAAGCACGGGGGAAGAGTGGTCCTCTATTTGCCTTCCATGCCCTCGATGACATTAGAGTAACTCAGGACGCATCTAAAGAAGGAACAAGCTTGGAACACCTTGGAACACGTGTTCCGGGTCGTGTTCCTCGATGTTCCTCATGTGTTCCTCGGGGTTCCTCATGTGTTCCTCGGTGTTCCTCATGTGTTCCTCAAGGAACAAGCTTGGAACACCTTGGAACACGTGTTCCGGGTCGTGTTCCTCGATGTTCCTCATGTGTTCCTCGGTGTTCCTCATTTGTTCCTCAAGGAACAAGCTTGGAACACCTTGGAACACGTGTTCCGGGTCGTGTTCCTCGTGTTCCTCGGTGTTCCTCATGTGTTCCTCAAGGAACAAGCTTGGAACACCTTGGAACACGTGTACTTGGTCGTGTTCCTCGATGTTCCTCATCTGTTCCTCGGTGCTCCTCATGTGTTCCTCAAGGAACAAGCTTGGAACACCTTGGAACACGTGTTCCGGGTCGTGTTCCTCGTTGTTCCTCATGTGTTCCGCGGTGTTCCTCATGTGTTCCGCGGTGTTCCTCATGTGATCCTCAAGGAACAAGCTTGGAACACCTTGGAACACGTGTTCCGGGTCGTGTTCCTCGATGTTCCTCATGTGTTCCTCGGTGTTCCTCATGTGTTCCTCGGTGTTCCTCATGTGTTCCTCAAGGAACAAGCTTGGAACACCTTGGAACACGTGTTCCGGGTCGTGTTCCTCGATGTTCCTCATGTGTTCCGCGGTGTTGCTCATGTGTTCCTCAAGGAACAAGCTTGGAACACCTTGGAACACGTGTTCCGGGTCGTGTTCCTCGATGTTCCTCATGTGTTCCGCGGTGTTCCTCATGTGATCCTCAAGGAACAAGCTTGGAACACCTTGGAACACGTGTTCCGGGTCTTGTTCCTCGATGTTCCTCATGTGTTCCGCGGTGTTCCTCATGTGTTCCTCAAGGAACAAGTTTGGAACACCTTGGAACACGTGTTCCGGGTCATGTTCCTCGATGTTCCTCATGTGTTCCGCGGTGTTCCTCATGTGTTCCTCAAGGAACAAGCTTGGAACACCTTGGAACACGTGTTCCGGGTCTTGTTCCTCGATGTTCCTCATGTGTTCCGCGGTGTTCCTCATGTGTTCCTCAAGGAACAAGCTTGGAACACATGTTCCGGGTCTTGTTCCTCGATGTTGCTCATGTGTTCCGCGGTGTTCCTCATGTGTTCCTCAAGGAACAAGCTTGGAACACATTGGACCACATGTTAAGGGTCGTGTTCCTCGATGTTCCTCATGTGTTCCGCGGTGTTCCTCATGTGTTCCGCGGTGTTCCTCATGTGTTCCTCAAGGAACAAGCTTGGAACACATGTTCCGGGTCTTGTTCCTCGATGTTGCTCATGTGTTCCGCGGTGTTCCTCATGTGTTCCTCAAGGAACAAGCTTGGAACACCTTGGAACACGTGTTCCGGGTCGTGTTCCTCGATGTTCCTCATGTGTTCCTCGGTGTTCCTCATGTGTTCCTCGGTGGTCCTCATGTGTTCCTCAAGGAACAAGCTTGGAACACCTTGGAACACGTGTTCCGGGTCGTGTTCCTCGATGTTCCTCATGTGTTCCGCGGTGTTCCTCATGTGTTCCTCAAGGAACAAGCTTGGAACACCTTGGAACACGTGTTCCGGGTCGTGTTCCTCGATGTTCCTCATGTGTTCCTCGGTGTTCCTCATGTGTTCCTCGGTGTTCCTCCTGTGTTCCTCAAGGAACAAGCTTGCAACACCTTGGAACACGTGTTCCGGGTCGTGTTCCTCGTTGTTCCTCATGTGTTCCGCGGTGTTCCTCATGTGATCCTCAAGGAACAAGCTTGGAACACCTTGGAAAACGTGTTCCGGGTCTTGTTCCTCGATTTTCCTCATGTGTTCCGCGGTGTTCCTCATGTGTTCCTCAAGGAACAAGCTTGGAACACATGTTCCGGGTCTTGTTCCTCGATGTTGCTCATGTGTTCCGCGGTGTTCCTCATGTGTTCCTCAAGGAACAAGCTTGGAACACATTGGACCACATGTTAAGGGTCGTGTTCCTCGATGTTCCTCATGTGTTCCGCGGTGTTCCTCATGTGTTCCGCGGTGTTCCTCATGTGTTCCTCAAGGAACAAGCTTGGAACACATGTTCCGGGTCTTGTTCCTCGATGTTGCTCATGTGTTCCGCGGTGTTCCTCATGTGTTCCTCAAGGAACAAGCTTGGAACACCTTGGAACACGTGTTCCGGGTCGTGTTCCTCGATGTTCCTCATGTGTTCCTCGGTGTTCCTCATGTGTTCCTCGGTGGTCCTCATGTGTTCCTCAAGGAACAAGCTTGGAACACCTTGGAACACGTGTTCCGGGTCGTGTTCCTCGATGTTCCTCATGTGTTCCGCGGTGTTCCTCATGTGTTCCTCAAGGAACAAGCTTGGAACACCTTGGAACACGTGTTCCGGGTCGTGTTCCTCGATGTTCCTCATGTGTTCCTCGGTGTTCCTCATGTGTTCCTCGGTGTTCCTCCTGTGTTCCTCAAGGAACAAGCTTGCAACACCTTGGAACACGTGTTCCGGGTCGTGTTCCTCGATGTTCCGCATGTGTTCCGCGGTGTTCCTCATGTGTTCCTCAAGGAACAAGCTTGCAACACCTTGGAACACGTGTTCCGGGTCGTGTTCCTCGATGTTCCTCATGTGTTCCTCGGTGTTCCTCATGTGTTCCTCAAGGAACAAGCTTGGAACACCTTGGATCACGTGTTGCGAGTCGTGTTCTTCGATGTTCCTCATGCTTTCTTCAGTGTTCCTCATGTGTTCCTCAAGGAACCAGCTTGGAACACCTTGGAACACGTGTTCCGGGTCGTGTTCCTCGATGTTCCTCATCTGTTCTTCAGTGTTCCTCATGTGTTCCTCAAGGAACCAGCTTGGAACCCCTTCGAACACGTGTTCCGGGTCGTGTTCCTCGGTGTTCCTCATGTGTTCCTCAAGGAACAAGCTTGGAACACCTCGGAACACGTGTTCCGGGTCTTGTTCCTCGATTTCCTCATGTATTCCGCGGTGTGCCTCACGTGTTCCTCAAGGAACAAACTTGGAACACCTTCGAACACGTGTTCCGGGTCGTGTTCCTCATGGAACAACAATGGAGCAGGTGTTCCTGGTCGTGTTCCTCATGGAACAACAATGGAACACGTGTTCCTGGTCGTGTTCCTCATGCAACAACAATGGAATACGTGTTCCTGGGGAAGTCGGACAGTCTGGCGAAAACCCTTTTGGCTAAAAAAATTCGCCAAATAAAAATCCCGTTTGGCGAATAAAAAATTTCACCCACTTTACGGCATTTTTAGAACACGGGTTTCAAAGTACCTTTTGGCGAAAAAAATGTCACATTTGGCGAGAATGAAGATTTTATGAGTATGTCAAATCATAAAGATAATACTACAAGAATTTACATATTTTCTTTATTGTCATATCTTATGTATTTGAATGAGCACGCGAAAGATTTGTGAAAGAAGACTTGATTCTACCACATCACTACTCATTTTACGATCTTATCGTTACCAAAGCACGGGGGAAGAGTGGTCCTCTATTTGCCTTCCATGCCCTCGATGACATTAGAGTAACTCAGGACGCATCTAAAGAAGGAAGACTCGCACGCTGGAAAAGTTTTACTTCGTACATGGTAATAATATGGCTGTTTCTTCTTATAGTTTAAATTACTGATGGGGAAATTGTTCAGTAAATGATAATGCTAATTGCTAACTAATGTTGGCATGTACTTAATAACTTATAGGCTTGAACGGAATAAGCACATTTTCCCTGCTTCACGGTGGGAACCCTACGATCCTAATAAAAGCTACGGAAAGTACACAATTGCAGACAAGTCAAAAAATTAAGCGGCGTACCGTTTTATACATTGTGTCGGGTTTCATTTTTATCGTGAATAAAGTTACTGAATTTAATATACATTATTAAATACGCATTATTTGACACTTGTTAATGCTTATAAAACATTCATGAATACGCATTATTTCCGATGCAAATGATATGCATCATGAAAAAAGACAATCAATTGACGCGTGTATGACACTGTATGAGGAGCATCATCTCAGAATCTCAGATCATCCTTTATTCTGCTGGACTGGGTGCATAGGTTTTATTATGAATGTCCATTGTCCAGCATTAGAGATATGCTACATATGCTTATAAACAAGACTTACAGGCAGAGATTCGGACAACACGTGTCAATAAACATTTAACTAACCTTGATGTTGCCATACGCCAAATATTTGCTGCGCCAGTTGATGTCCTTGTACACCAATCACGTTAAAGTCCGGTAACAACAACACCAACTCTGACAATTCCATGACATGCAGTGGTTCTCGTGAAAGCGAGGTACACAAACCTGAAACAGCGATAAGTACATTCCTCATGATACGCACATTGATCTTTCCATTGGGTGCATGAAAATTATAGGTGGTTAATTAATGAACCATGGGAGTAGATCATTCATGTCCATCTGCATGCGAATGCGACTTGTTGTTACATATACAAATGTGCAGTGCACATATAATGCACTTCATGCACCCAATCTAGATCCAGTTGAAGTCAAGCCGTGTAAGACAAACAAAGGGTTGGACGATCGACTAAAAAATCTTTATCTGGAAAACCTTTAATCCATATTGACTTGACTTGAGTGAAGTATCTATTTTGAGTTTTGGTAGAAGAATGGCTGCTCCCTCCAAAGAAGAAGTTCACCAGATTATGGAGGTACATTAACTCCCTGCAGAAAACACCCTTCGACTATTCGTGTGTACATATTTCCATACATGATTTGTGAAATATTATAGCTACGAGAAAGATTGAAGGATGTTCTAACCACGCCAGATTCTCAAAGTGAAAGTTTTTTGCTCCGATGGATTCGTGGTAAAAAATATTTACCTGTTTTACAACATGAAAATTTGTTTTGTGCATGGTTTAACTTTCCATTTTATACGGCGTGTGTAGCTCGAGATCACAATTTGGATAGGGCTGAAGACCTTCTAAGAAATGTGTGATTGATACATTATTTTTACTCTTCCTATTTATCTAAATCTCGACTTGCTCGACAATGTCTCATCTTGTTCATTACACAGCATCTGATATGGAGAGAAGAACATGATGTTGACAATGTTCTGGATACTGAAAGTCATGATTCCGTATCCTTCTTCGAACTATTTCCGTACTGGGTGTCAGGCACGAGCAAAGATGGCCACGTCGGTATGAATCTCGCAACGTTTAACTACTTGGGGTGTGGCTTAAAATAGTTTTAAATCAGTGATCGAAGTGCCGCTTGGGTCTTGGGATATCCGGAAAGCCTTTCTCGTTGACGATGGGGAGAAGAAATTTGGTTTGTACACGACGCAACTCTTTGAAAAGGTGATGGCTCGAATTCGAGAGTTGAATGAGGAGAAGGCGTCGAGAGGGGAGTGGCCGTCCGCCCAAGTTTTCGGGGTCGTAAACTGGGAGGGCTACTCTTACAGTCAACTCCTAAATTGGAAAGGTACTTAACGTCCAGTTTCATCACTGGTGGATATTTTTTCATGAAATTCTTTGAGTGTTAATATTTTTCCCTCTGCATTATTTTGCAGCTCTTCAGAATTTGCTAACCATTGCGAGCAAATATGAAGCTCATTACCCAGAAATTCTATTCAAGGGCTTATTCATCAATTGTCCATCAATATTTCCCCTGTTGATGGGCTTTATCAAACAGATCCTTGCGCCAAAAACATTGGGAAAGCTTGAAATCTTCTCTGGCTCGAAGAACAACGAGTGGGAATCTGCCGTGAGAGAGCACGTGGATCCGGAGCAGATAGGAGTCCAATACGGAGGTCTTCGTACGGACAGGGTGATAAATAAATGAGACCAAACAACTAATCCATGTATGTATTTATGTAGATAGTAATTTGTAAATGTTATATTTTATCCAGTTTGTAATTCAATAAAGATCAGAATTATTTCATAAATTGTGATGATGAATATTGCAAATGGATTTTTATTTTGGTATCAAAATATATGCAACTTGAGAACTAGATATTTGCATGCGTAGACCAATTCATAACATTGTTTAATCGTTGAGGACACAAATTTGGTATAAAAATGAATCCAAAATTGAAATAAAGAGAAAAACGCTGATGTTAAATTGCGTGAACATCCTGTCGGCTGCTCAATTATTTTAATTACTGGTATCAGCCAAACAGCACATTTTTTTGGAAAAAGATTATTTCGTGACAAGTTTTATGAATGGGAATCAATTCGTCTGGAAGACCTCAGTCTGGCTACATAGACTGGGTCCCATTTTTTTGAGAGATAATTTCATATCGCATAATTTCCCTGTTTGAATATGTCAAAACTATTTAAACGATCATGGTCCAACGAAATTGGGTCACTGTATGTCTGATCACAAATTCATCGAAATATTTGTATGAGATATACCCGAATACATTAATTAGAAATGTCGCTCCCCACTCCAGAAGAGAAAATTGCAATCCAAAAAGTAAGCAACTGATTTTTCCTCAGCTTAAGTAATTTATCAACGTTTAACTCAATATTTGTGTGTGACCATTAAAAGTTCAGGGGTCGAGTGGAGGACGTTCTGACTCCAGAGTTGCAGAAAGATGACTGGTTCCTCCTTCGATGGCTTCGAGGTAAGTTCTGCTACACTTTCACGTGCTAAATTAGTGAACATAAAAGGTGATTACCTTGCAGCACGCGAACTCAACTTGGACAAGGCAGAAGCCATGCTGAGAAATGTGAAATTATTTGCTTATTACGAATAATCATTTTAGCCCTTTGGATTAGACTAATACTGCGACTTTCTCTTTCATGCAGTCGATGAAGTGGCGAGCAGAAAATAAAGTGGACCTAACCCTCTCTCGCCCAGTGGACTCTTACTTTTCCTCCAACTACCCCTTCGACATCTCCGGCAGGGATAAGGAGGGGCGTGTCCGTAAGTCCGTCTTATCAACTGATAAATGGAATCTCATTCGAAAATCGGTTGAGCTTAATAAAGGATAGCTATGAGCAAAGGGGAATTGTGTATACTCTGGCTTGCGCAGTGATGGTCCTTCCGCTTGGGAAGTGGGACGCCCGGATGGCAGTTGACGACGGGAAGGTGGAGCTCCTCGTGGGCTACATCAACTTTTTCTTCGAAAGCATTGCGAAGGGGATCAAGGAAAGCTCGGTGTCCGCGGGACGCCCAGCCTCCCACCCGCACACCCAATTCACATGCCTCGTCGACTGGGATGGCTACTCCTTCAAGCAGTTCACCAATATCAAGGGTACGCAACTTTGCTTAAAAAACAAACTCCGAGTCGCTTATGAGCTTACTACCATTTGTTCTTTTGCATTGACCAGCTGCTCAAACTGTAATAAAAATGGGAGCAGTGTACGAAGCACATTATCCGGAAATCTTGGCCCAGTGTATTTTCATCAACACGACCTCCGTTTTCCAACTTTTGTGGGCACTGATGCGCAAAGTTCTGGCGGAGCGAACCGTGAGCAAGATTCAGGTGTTTGGGACGAACCGAAAGGAGTGGGAGCCGGCGATACTCAAAATCGTGGATCGTGACCAGATCAAGACCGAGTTGCGAGAAGGGGCGCAAATCTCGGAGGATGAGCTGAAGAAAATTAAGGAAGCCAAGGGGATCAGTGAGGATGACATTAGTGCTCTCATCATCCAAAAATGAGAGATGATTAATTAGCATAGTATTCACGAAATCACATTACATACATAATACTTGCTTTTATTGAACATGTTTACATGGAATAAATTAGAGGTAGACCGAATTTCTTGACCATTTATACGTTAATTAGCCTCATTGTGTCGGTGTTGTTGACTCAGCAGTTGTGGGTGTCTGAGGAGGTGGTCTAGTTGCCGTGCCCCCGTAGCCGACCCCCACTTGATCCTTCTCCACCAGAGCGTCCACCACGGGTTCCCACGTGGATCGATCAGACCCATAAATTTGGAGCTTGGCCACCGTCTCCACCGGCAAAAGGGGCTTCACAAGCGAGTAGAACATGGAAAATACTGTCGGGGCATTTATAATTACACCCACTGCCAAAATTTCTGGATAGTGTGCCTCATATTTTCCAGCCATGTTTATGGTGCTTTGGACGCCTCGAACGTTGAGTAGCTGCGAGTAAGAGTAGCCTGAGAAATCTATAAACACAGTGATCTGCGTTTTTGCCATTGATTTTTCGCCCATCCTGCACTTTGCAATTTCGAGCATTATTTCTTCGAAAAATTTATTCGTGTAGTTGAAAAATTCCGTTTCGCCCAGCGTCGAGACGATCTTCCGAATGTCCCATTTTCCAAAGTCCACTTCCACCACTGCCACCAAATCAAACAGACTACACGTTACCATTACTGTGAATTTAGGATTTGAAATTTGTGGGAGGAGGGGACTTTACCGAGACGACCCTGGCGGTCTCTCCTTCCAATGTGATACGGGGCCAGCTGGTGGAGAATTGGAGGAAACTCTTGTCTCACAGCGGACGAGAGGTCATGTTCTTTACGCCATCGAAATGACTGCAAATATGTGTCAACACAAGTTTTTCATTAATTTAATAAAAGCAATTGACTGCGATGCTGGACTTATGTAATACGCGAAGTGACTGCATAATAGAAAATTGTATAAATTTAATACCAAATCATGCAATGACATGCATACTTTTTTTACACAATAATTTGCATAAGGTGATTACAAGCGATTGATATATATCAATTTTAGTCATGTTTTCCTCCTCTTTGTCATTTTGAGGTGGCAATACTTGCATGCCGACTTTTAATGGGACGCAATAGCCATCGTCCAGTGTAGTGAGATTTGGCATCTCCCATCACTTACTTAATCAGCATCAATACGACACGTGTTTGCACATGGTAAAAAACAGATCGAATGAGGAAAGTCCTTTGTTAAATATTTTATGAATAACAACTTAACAACCCATCTCTAGTGCATGAGCTAACAACTTTTATAAGACGTAACACCCCACGAGAGGAAAATCTCCAGTGCCCAAAAAAAGACCATGATGATGACGATGCAGCCCAGGCTCAGAGTCACATTAAGAGTTGACAATATTTTATGTTATTCTAATCCTCATAAATCACATAGTGGCGAAACTGATGAACTCGGTGGGGTAAAAAGTTCACGAGTTTTGGTGGGAATTTTTGAATTTTTTGCAAAAAACTGCAAATATCATCTTGAGTTGTTTATGTTTTTAGTGGGTTCCAATGGGAAGAGTATGTGTGGTGGTGGCTTCCCGCCACACATACTCTATGACGAGTTGAGACGAATCAGGAAAAATTGCAAAGTGTTTATCTTGTAGTTCGAAAACCGAGATTAAATGTACACTCAAAAATGTGAAATATGTTGGATTATAACTAGCAGTTGTTGCACAACAAGGGAGCATGCCCTTTAAGGAATTGATATGCTACTTGTATTTATATTAATCGACGAATGTCAAGTTTCGTCTAAATTTTGCTTTCCTCGAGATTCGATGATTAATATAAATACAAATAGCATATCAATTCCTTAAAGGGCATGCTCCCTTGTTGTGCAACAACTGCTAGTTATAATCCAACATATTTCACATTTTTGAGTGTACATTTAATCTCGGTTTTCGAATTACAAGATCAAAAACCTGTGCAAAAAATAATGCATGGGGTAACATACGGGAGAAATATTGAGCGAGAGACTGTATTGGCTGATAGAGCGGCCAGAGCAAACTATTACGCCCCGTTAAGAATGAGAGAATGCACGGAGGCTGCGGCACCATTGTACCCAATGTCCCCACAGAAATGTGGATTTTACAATGCTCTTAAGTTCCTCCTCTTCCTATCTTACAATATTATTGTCCCCACGGTTCCGTGAATGCAGCATTACGGCCACAACTGCTTAGATACTTGCATATGTATGTAGGTCGAACGAATGTAAAAAAAAACAGTTACGTAACTAACTCACTTCTTGTAACATTGTCTCTGCAGCGTCCAGATTCCCGTTTCGAGCTCGTACCCATCGGATCAGAAATTGGTCGCTGCGATGCTCATCGTCATTCAAAACGTTGTCGTCAAAACGCTTCCGGAACTAGTGTGAGCAAAACCGAACAGCGTTGTAAAATATGACAAAAATGATTGTACAATGGGGATAATTTGTGTAGAAAGGACAACAAGCACGGCACCTGGTCGACCAGCTCCACCTCCTCGTTTGTCAACTCTGCCATTATTTGAGTTGGTATTGTTCGGAAATCACGCTTGCTGTCGCGAGTCAAAATTGTTTCCTTGCACAAAAATCAGTAATGAAGCGTCAATGATTTTTATGCAGTGATGAGAGGCAGATTGAGACTTTTGCAAAACTGTGTGCCTATCCTCCTCTCAATGCTGACTGATTCGGCTGGGCAAAAATACTCTTGAATGCTTTATATCCCAACGTACACTCACAGATTGTTGGATTGATTTTGCATTTTATGCATTGTGCAGACATAAACAATACGGTTGTAATTTTATTTTTTCCTGCTTGATCAGCCAATCCATTCCAGTTTTAATGGTAGTGTAAACGACTAATGCTTACGTCCTTGCGTAGATCACTGGGCAGGATTGCAGATTCAATAAAACAACAAGTCGAAGAACACTTGTTATTTTACTATTTTGAGAATTGTAATAAACAAAAGTACTCAACGTGGAGTGTGGCGATTTAATATATCCTGTTCCTCTTCATCAACATCCGATTTCATACTTCTCCTTTTTCCATGCAAAATTAGTAAGTATTTACTCCTTTGGTTTACAATTTTACAAATCTGATGGTGACATATGTATGAGCATAAATAATGACTAAGCCTATTGTTTCTGTGAAGTCGAGCAATAGTACTCCAGTCAATAAGTAATAATAAATTGGTCGTGTTTTGAGGCAACGACCCATACGATGCAGGCGTTGTGTGTATATTCACTAAAGATTTGTATGTATTGCACAGCAATAAACGCCGTTGTACTTAAGTTTTAAACAATCAGTCATTTTTGACGTGAGGTTAATAAAATGTTCATTTGCAAATTATGCACATAATTGTCCACTCAATCATGGAAGAAAATTGCACACCGTCATCAAATTGAGTATTCCAGTAAACTTGATTTTTATTCACAGTCCTTTAAGCAACAACCTGTTTCTTTCACCAACATCTTATTACATTGCTTCTCTAGAACCAGTTGTTTTATCCAGCACAATTTGTACTCGAAATTGCGAGTGGTACCATGAAACACTGCACGGGTCAATTTTTTGAGTGGACAAAAACTTGCGTAAAAAACTTGTACAGCACACATGTCAATTTGGCTTCACTTGGACCCGTTGCCCTTGATTGGCCGAGTACAAATGCATACACATTCCTCGCAGTTTTTCATACTGTGCTCATTTCGCTTTGATTCTTTATCGTGGAGCCAGTCGCAGTTTGAAATACTTTCTTGCTTTCCCCTTGGATCATCAGTTTAAGACGTTGTTGCCCAACGTGGGACATAGGATGGCTTCCCCCAGCGACATGGAGAAGGAGTTGATCAAGATGGTTAATTTTGCAACGTTTTCACAATAAATATTTGGCCTCAATGAGTAATTTGCAACGTTGTGCTCACGCAGTTTCGAGAAAACATGGGTGACGCGTTAAGGTCCGAAGAAGAGAAAAGTGACCCGTTTCTCCTCCGCTGGATCAGAGGTACGTATGTACATTTACATAACTATCTAATCTAGCTAGAGGCACTAACTTTTCAAGAAGACCAGTACCCAAATTTCACTTCATTTCGCAGCTCGAGACCACAATTTGGACAAGGCTGAGGAGATGCTAAAGAATGTAAGTCGATAATCTGGCTGGTCAAATTCACTGTTATGTCGGACTGCCGTTTCATCTCGAAATTTCTTAGTCACTCCAATGGCGCGAGACTTCTGGTGCGGATAAGATCTTGACGACCCCGTATGATCCATGGTTCGCTACCAGCTTTCCATACTGGGTGGATGGTTTGGACAAGACGGGTCATCCAGGTTATCTACAACATCCATGGATTACATGCTAACTAACCTGGTTGGTTAACAAGATTTGTACATGTGTAATAGTGATTGAGATTCCACTTGGAGCTTGGGACGTTCGCCGCGCCATGAATCCGGAGCGAGAGCCGCAGTGGGAGGGACAGATTTGTCGATTTTTTGAGGACATTCTGCGCATGATTCGTGAGTCCAACAACGACACGAACCACAAGGACTGGCCGAACACGCTGTGCAACATCATCGTGGACTGGAAGGGATACTCCTACTCGCAGCTTATCCATTGGAAAGCACTTCAAAACACGCTCAAAATGGCAGCCACGTACGAAGCTCATTACCCAGAAATCTTGCACAAGGTTTACTTTATCAATTGCCCAGCAATCTTCCCCCTCTTCATGGCCCTCCTCAAGCCCATCATTGCGCCAAAGACGTTGGGAAAGATCACCTGCTTCAGCGGGGAGGAGGAATGGGGTCCAGCCTTCAGGGCTGACATTGACCAAGACCAGTTGGGTCACCTGTACGGCGGAAGGAGAATCATGACCGTGGGGGACGACGTTTACAACTATGACACATAAATTAATTTAAAAAAACTTTTCTTGTCACACGAAAATAAGCTGTGTAAATAAATTGAGCACTTTTTTATTCCTTCCTTATTTTGTTAATTTTTGTCTAATAATTATTTAAAACTTGGTCCGTGGGACGACCCTGTTGCCTCCGAGCCGAGTCCACAGCTTGTCTGGATCCATCATGCCTCTCAAAATGGGTTCCCACTCTTCCCGATTCGTCCCATAGATGTGGATTTTGCTATACGTTTTTGGTGCGAGGAGTGGTTTCAAGAGCTTCAAAAAGAGGGGCATGATTGCCGGACAGTTGACGAAGTAGACCTTGTACAAGATTTCTGGATAGTGAGCTTCGTACTGAGAAGCAAACTTGAGAAGAGCTTGCACAGCTACATGTGTATGCAAATAGAAAATATGTGCGTTATTGATTTGGAAACTGTTTGGAGGCTTTTCATGGATTTCTACCTTTCAAGTTGATAAGTTGAGCGTACGAGTAGTCTTCCCAGTCACAAATGTAGATGAACTGAGTGTGCGGCCAGTCGCTGCTGCCACCGCCATCCCCTTTCAAATTACCACTTTCTCGAATAGCGACCATAATGCTTTCGAAAAAGTGGTTAACAAAGTCCTGAAATTCTGTTTCCTTTCCTGCGTCAATCGCTTTGCGCATATCCCAAGCCCCAGAATGCACCTCGCGTACTAAAAGGAATCAAAAAAATATGCCATCGCTTATTAGTTTTCGATGACGCCAGTTCAATTAGATAAGTTCTTAAATACCTGGATGTCCTTCATAGTCGTGGCCTTCGGTGTAATAGGGGTACGTATCCTTGATGAAGGGGTCCAAGGGCTTGTTTAACACGCTGTCCATGTCGTTCTCCTTCCGCCACTTCATGGACTGAATAATTCATAAAGTTTAAAAATAAAGAATACATAAACTTGTGACATATAATAGAACAGCTCTCTAACATTTCGCAACATAGCTTCCGCCTTGTCCAGATTTTCATCTCTTGCTGAAAAAATGATATACATACTTTCCTATTAACCACAAAGTAGCCCAAGAACACGGTTTATATAGAAATATTAATGTATGTACTTACCTCGGATCCATCGGAGGAGAAAGTGTGCGGACCGCTTGTCATCAGTGTCAAGCACATCTTCAACTCTTGATCTAAACTGAACGAGGAGGGGACAAAGTCAGTAAACCACATTTTTGATGAATTTAAGCAGACTTTGTTGGAGGTTACCTTATGGATGAGTTCCCACTCTTTCTCTGTCGGTGGACTTCCGCCGGCCATGCTGCTGGTTGCCTCTCCTGTGCCCGATGTCGACACCGGATCCTGCGAAGGGGCCATTTTATTTTATTAACAAATAGCAAAAACAAGTCGAAGTTCAAGTCGTAATAAAGCTATTTCTGCCCTCGAAATGAAACGCTAACTGTTCGCAAATAAAATAACGTATTTGTGATGGTGGCATTGGGGAGATATTTAATTGCATAGGAGAAGACACGCTTCATTTTTTTGCCCTGGTAGTTATGCGCAAAAGTGGCAAGAAAGGCATGCAATATCAGTAATCAAGTATTTTCCTTGTATAAAATATTAACCGTGAATACATCACAGCAATAATATCTTGTACACATTTTTATGTATTGTTGGTACCTGACTGGTAATAAATAGTTTCGTATCTGTATCCTCCAAAAAAACTAGTTCATTGAGAATATCGCATCAACCAAATTCAAACTTGAGGAAATTAATCTAGAATTTTAACGACAAATTGGTTGATTTAGTAGATTATACAACTTTAAAGTAAATTTTATTTACGTCTCCTGATCCGGCTTCTGTGATGAAATATCCGCGTCTGACTGCTATGTAATTTGAGTATCGGTCCATTGAAGTATTTAACGTACTCACACTGAATAAGCGTTCGTTTCATACCACGCAATAATTAATAATTCTGACCTCCATTGAAACAATGGGATGATTATTGTGAGAGAAAAATCCGAAAATGTTTCATTTTTCAGCATAAAAATAGGAGAGATTGGCAAAGTATGAAATTGGAGGAAGGGAAGAGGAGCTCTCATTCATAAATAATTATTGTTGTTGCATCTCTCTCATCCTTGTACTTTTGCCATAAACAAAATAAGTATAATGCCTCCACTTGACGCACACCCATCAAAAAAGCCATTCTAAACTAAATCAAACCAAATGGCCAGTAATTCAAAGCGTAATAAGTTTGGTCGTTTTCGTACTGTTTAACCAACCTGTTATGCAACTCGGTACACAAAAGCACATAGAATGAATTATTTATATGATGAATCTTTTATGTACACAAGGATGCAACAAAGCGGAAAAGGTCTCTTTTGTAAGTAAGTATATTTCCATTCCTATTATTTCGCCACCAACGTTACGGTGTGTGTCATCCGAGCTAATTTCAACAATACAAATGACTACACAGCAGCATCAGCAGGAGACAACGACGTCTTAATGGAAACAATGCGATTGAATCCGCTGCAGTCGGTCGGTCGGTCAGACGACGACGACAACGACGATGAGATCCGCAACTCGGCATTATTATTGTTGTTGCAAAAAGTGCATAATAAATAATTAAGCTAATCATTATTATTGCTCCTCAGTCGCCATCTCGTCCAAAGTTCATCCCGTCGTCGTCGTCGTCGTTTGATGAAATGAATCAATTGGACAAATTATTATTAAATTCTGATGTTCTTACTTATTTGTTGGCCAATAATTCTTGCACGGTCCACGGACGACCAAATGGTTTCATAATGACACGGAATCGTTCCAACTAGATTATATGGACCAACCGAGCATAATAGATTGCTGTACTTGCACATCTTCCTGATATAAACAATAACATTATTGCATTTATTGCTTCTTGGCTTTCAATACGTTTTGGGCAAAGACATTTTAAGCAACGAGATTCGCAGCAGCAACGCATTGTTAACCACGCTAATGGGTCACCACCACATCACCAATCAAAACCAGCACCACCATCAGTAGCAGCAGTACAACAATACGAATAATAAATAAGCAATATTAACAATGATGATGATGACGATATTGAATTGCCAAGTAAATTCTACACTCAACTACTTCGGACTGATTCTACTTGCCTAGCCCTTTTCCTCACGATCTTGGACTGCACAGGTTAATTTCATGATTTATGAATCAGAATCAGAATTGTAGGAAATTTGGGGTTATAATAAATAGTTTCTAAACTATTTAATCCATGAATGGAAAAACAATTTAATGTCTAAAGTCGGAAATTAATCAAACTTTAATTATACGAAAAATTTTGACTGTTTAAGACATGGACTTAAAAACCCAATTAAAAACAATGACTTTTCATCATACAGCATTCAAGCATGTCATATTCAGCCACTATTATATTACATTATGAGACATGATATAGATTGAGGACTTTGATTAGGGCATAAATGTGTCAAGATTTTACTGCTAATTGACACAAAAATTACATAATAATGCATTAAAATTCGTAAAAAATCAGTTTTATGTATAGTGCTTTAATCTTGAATGGCTGCAAAAGTAAAAATATTTTTTATTGGCATATATTCGATACATAGTCACCTCTCTCTGCTGCACATTCATTGAGCTGAAAATGCACAACGGCACATCACTTTTTGCTTTTAAAATAGAAAACTATTTATATAAAATGAAATGTATTCTGTTTTTTTTTCATTTTATTTTTTTGTATCATGATGCATCATGTGCAGCCATAATTCTTCCCCGTCAAGATTTTTAACACACCAGCAAAACAACAACAAAGTATTTGTAGTAAAATCAAATGAAAATTGCATCGTTTAATTTGTAAAAGAATGCACATAAAAGCTCTCTCATTTCACAAGTTGATTTCCCATTTCAGTTTTTGGCCAACACAAAAACGAGCAGAACTGCAGTCTCGTGGTGCATTTTGCAATTTTCTGAAAAGCAAATAAGTAAAAGGAGTTATAGTTTTTGTAGTGCGTTAAAGTTAAAAGGAGAGTCGTTCCGCTTTAATAAGAGGGAATAATAAGGATTATGAAAAATAGTCAGGGTCACGGACCTCTGCTCCCTCTGATGATGAGACCATGCAGCCAACATGCAGGCAGGGAAAGCTAACAGCTAACTCAGCGGAATTACTATTTATTAACATAGTTTAATTGTTGTCGTCATCATCATCACATTTTCGGAGACGGACGCACATCGTCACAAACTGCCACGGGTTGACCAAATTTTGCATCCACAGTTAAACTCATTGACAAATACGTGAAGCACAATGTTGAGCCAGAATTACAGAAAGAGCATCAATTGCTTAACATGACTTATTTGCTAATGAGAGAGAGACACATTGTAAATTTTTTGAGAAATGGTAACATCTGGGAAAGTATGAGGCTATTATAATTTGCATAACTAAGGAATCAAGTTGACGCAGCACCACGCAGGCAAAATTTGGGATCGTCACATGTCTTCTCTTTTATGATTAATTGGTAGCCAATTAATGATGATCCCATCTGCTGTGGTGACCAGACTTAGTTGCACATTTTAGAAAAAGTGCGACACTTTCCATTTCTATTTCCCAAAGATTCGAATCAAAGGGGAAGTGAAATGCGAAAAAAGCCACGATGAGGAAAATTGCACAATTTATTCAAGACATATTTATCCGACGGATAAAAATAAATTGGAAAGGTCAGAGGTTGACAATTTTTACTCGTTTTATGGATCAACTTATCACTGTGACGCCATCAGAAACCAGACGCACCCATCCGTTGCTCATCTCATCATCAACGCATTTATTTACATATAAACTTGCATAACAGTCAAGGACACTTGGGCAATTGAAAAAAGTCCCAAAAATTACAATAAACCCGATCTGATATGCTTGTCAGTATAAAAAAGCTGCATTCGCACCGTCACCGCACTGTAAAAGTGATGATAAGAAGAAGGAATATTTCTTTAACAAGTGAATTTGTTCATGGTTTTGGTGACGAAAGGGTGAGTGGTTTGCTCTACGTTGGCGAATGAGGTAATTCGTGGGATAAGCAAGTATGGTGGCGAGTAGTGGCCAAATAGTAAATGGTATCAGCAGCACATTCGAAATTGCAGTCTCCTCTCGCCGCCTGGGTCACGCTGAACTGCGCTTTTGTCGTATAAAAGCCCACGATGAGAGGGTCCTTCACTCAGTCACTCCACAACAACCAAAGTCGAAGAGAGACACACACGCCACTGCTGTTACAATCTAAAACGTTGTAAACGGGACGCCAGGATGAGGTCGCTAACCAAGGTAAAACTAGATTCTCCTTCACCACGCACCCTACCCTACAATAAATACAAAAGTGGGAAAAGTGCTCAACACATTCATTGCTTCTTGTAAATATATTGCAGATTGTTCTAGTTGCTGGGATGTTGGTACTTGTCAAGTCAGAGCCTCCATCTTCCAGAGGGGGCGGTGGAGGTGGGGGCGGTGGGTATGGAGCTCCCTCTGGCGGTGGTAGTGGGGGGTACAGTGGAGGGGGCGGAGGGGGAAGTGGGGGGTACAGTGGGGGTGGTAGTGGAGGGGGTGGTGGAGGAGGATACAGTGGGGGTGGCAGCGGTGGAAGTGGGGGGTACAGTGGGGGCGGTGGTGGAGGACGCGCGCCATCGGGAGGTAAGAACTCGAGTGGTCGAATGTCTAATGTGTTTATCTTAAAATATGAATAATATAGAGCAAAACAATTTTAATTTAAACAGCAATTAATTATTCTTGCAAACATATTAGTAATTCGAAATATTCAGAATTACATAAAAATTATATCAGTTAAATTTAACTAACATGAATTAGAGCACGTATTAATAAAATATACATGCGTGACTCATCTGTGATATACACGCAAGAAGCGCAATGACGCTGCTGGATGACTCAAGAAGAGTTCAACTGCAAAAATAGTCAAACATTGCAAAGGACGTGCACATATGTACATGTGTGTATATTTACTGTTGTGTATTGCAGGTTATGGGGGTCCCTCAGGGGGTGGTGGCGGCGGAGGAAGTGGGGGGTACAGTGGGGGTGGAGGGGGTGGGGGCGGATACGGTGGGGGTGGTGGTGGAGGTCACAAAGAAGAGGTGAGCATTTAATTTTATGCAAGTAAGGTGCCGTCTCTGACGAGTATATAATGACTTCGTCTCATAGCAATACCCACCGCGACCCTACAACTTTGCCTACGCCGTGAACGACCACTACTCGGGGGCCAACTTTGGTCAGATGGAGAGGAGCGACGGGAATGTGGTGAACGGAGAGTACAGAGTCCTCCTTCCTGACGGGTAACAGCATCACATGCAAAAAGAAACTTGTGGATAGAAATCTAATCTTTTCCCCACTTTTTTCTCTAAACTTCACACACAGACGAACGCAGATCGTGACCTACAATGCTGATTGGAAAAATGGCTTCAATGCCGACGTGAAGTACCAGGGCGAGGCCAAGTACCCTGAGCCATCTGGCGGTGGTGGTTACGGAGGGGGTGGTTCCGGTGGGGGCGGCGGCGGCGGTGGTTATGGAGGGGGTTCCAGTGGGGGCGGTGGATCAAGTGGTGGTTATGGAGGGGGTGGTTCCAGTGGGGGTGGCGGCGGTGGGAGTGGCTATGGTGCCCCCTCCGGTGGTGGAGGAGGCGGTGGATATTCGGGATAAGTTTTTTCATTTTCTTGATACATTTCTTGTTACCTGCGCCATCGCCATCGCTTCGACCCTTGACTGACCTGAGAGGGACTTGACTTATCTACGAGGCCCTCCTAGCACACACTCGCAACGAAAAGGTGTGGCCACTTTCCCTTAAAAAATTTTCAAACTTTCAGCATTCTCTGTTCAATACTCGCATGCGAATTCTGCTCCGTGCATATGCATGGTATAAAAAGATCTCTCTGTAACATATTCTTATACTCTCTTATACATGAAGGTCGTGAAATGACGACCCCTTATTTTTATTGTTTCATTGTGCTGTCAATACAATACTTCAACACGCTAGTTTAATTCAATGTGGAAAAATAAATTTTTAAAATCCATCGATCCAGCGAAATGCCAAAGCATCCTGTAACACTGCATATTTACCATCCATTCTCCTCATATGGTGCGCATATGAACCCAATTTCCTCCCCCCAGATGACCCCCTCCCACTAATTCCCCCCCAAAAGATGGAGACCAACTTCCCAGCTACGAATTCCCCCCATTGCGCCCATCTGCGCCGCGCCCCTTGCGGCGGATGACCATGTCGAAAGAGGGCTGTTGATTTCTCGCATGAAATGCATTGAGCAGCCAACGCCCCTTGTTGTAGATACCTCTTTCCCACATGAAAATTCCCATTTGACTCTCCTCTCCTCCATCCAGCACCACCACCACGCGAATCAAGCCCTCCCACCCCACCCACCTCGAATATCTTGCGGGTCCACCCACACCACACCCACTTTAGCCAATCCATCCAACATGCATGCCATAGCCACCACAGGATGGAACCTATGAGGAAATGCGTCTCGAGTCGTGAAAACTGCTTTACCATTCGCCAGGGTCCGGAGAGGAGTTGTTCTGCGCTGTTAACATATTGTCATTGGGGTGTATACATTTGCATTAGACGTCGCCAACATGATGGTAGCACCCGAATACACCCACACCATTGGAGAGCACTATGTCAGCCAGAGTGATAAATCTGGGTGAGGAGGAGGTGAAAACGTGGGGTGGATTCGGAATGGGGCGAGCCTTGTGGGTGTGACTTTCTGCCTTGCATTTGGAGCTGTAGTCAGCAAGGCCTCAAACATTGGAACTTGGTCATTGGAACTCCAACTCCAACACCACAACTAAGGGTTATGTCAAATTCCAACGACGATATTAGCTGCTCACAATGCTTTAATTTCCTACACTGGGGCACACAGACACGTCTGCAAAATCAAAAGGCCGAAAGCCGCTAAAAAGTCGACTAACCTACCGAACAGCACAGGCGAACGGGGACATGCAAAAGTGTCATCTCAGGGGCAAACACACCACCTGGACCCTCAACCCAAACTATTAAAAATGTCATCAAAATGCGTCCCTAAAATCATGACATTAGTAGCTAAATATTTCCAACCCCCTTATGCGTCCTTCAACTTGAGAATGTTTCCAAAAAGTGTGGATACGTGATGCATATGAGGTCGACGCTTCAAAACGGTGTAGTTTATAGCAATTAGTGGTTAGTGGGGGGTGACCTGGATAGTTTTCGGGGTGCCTAGGAGGCCGTTGTGGGGGCAGGAGGTGGGGGGACGTGGTGGTTGGTGGGTCCAATTTTGGTCGTATGGGTCGGGTGTATCCGCCAAGCCAGAAGCAGCGAAGAGTGGCTTGGGCAGAAGAAGGAGAAGACGAAGCAGGCAGAGAGCCCACTACACACCACAACCTCCATCACATACAACCACACACTCCAATTTTCATCCTCACAAATAAACCCCACTTTTTCAACAACTCGGTAAGTAACAACCTCCCACTTTTTGTTTTACTTTCTAAACCACTCATACCCCCTGGAAAACTGCTTGCCCCCACAAAACGCCACCTTTTTCCACTCGAAAACACCCAAAAGCGGGGTGGTTCAGGGGATTTTATCCAGATAAGTGTTGGGCGACTCCCCGTCATGGAAAAAAGGGGTCCCTGTGGCTAAGAGTCTGCAAAGGGGTCAGGTTTCATTTCCTCCTTAGTTTTCGGTTCTACGACATTGTGGCGCAGAGGGGGAGAGGATGCATGATGGCGACGTTTGTATAGTTACGGGGATATGGGTTGGCTGGAAGAGTATGCTCGAGTGGGGCCCTTGCCTGTGTTTGGAGGCCATGGCAGAATGGGCTCAATACACTGATCTCGCATTTATTTGCCTACGAAGCACGTACTTACTTACTTGTGCTACGAGTGAGCGCCATTGCATTGACTCCAAGAGCAGCACAGTGTTGGTTGGTTGGAGCAAGAAGTTGGCATTTCGTGTGGATTTCTTCCCTCTGCTCCTCGCTCATCTCCTTCCCTCGTTCACTTTTACTGCTCTCCCTCATACTCGCTCGCTCGCACTCCACTGGGCTCTCTGTTAGTGACGCTTCTGAAAAAGTTGGGCCGTTGGTTCTTCTTGTTGGACTTTTCTTCTCTTTCACCAGTCTTGTTTTCATTCCACTCGAGATTGTTTAGTGTATATTTCTTTGAATAATTTCTGAAAATCTCACTTTCTTTCTAGAAAATAAATATGCCGAGAGCAAAGGGAGATACGAGACCAAGGGGACGCATGACGGCGTATGCTTTCTTTGTCCAGACTGCTCGAGAAGAGCAAAAGCGACTTCATCCGGGAGGTTCTGTGGTAAGTTTGTACTTTATTTATTTATTGATATTTGTTATTTATTTTATTTATTGATTTGCGGATTTAATTCATTTGTCATCACTGTTCCAGGTATTCGCCGATTTTTCAAGGAATTGCGCTGGACGCTGGAACTCTTTGTCCGAGGAGGAGAAACGACCCTACAAGTTAATGGCTGAGCGAGACAAGAACCGATTTGAAGCCGAGATGAAACAATTTCCAGGGGAGAAGCAGCGTCGGGGAGGAAAGAGGAAGCGTCGCTCCAAGGACCCCAACGCACCAAAGCGATCTCTCTCCGCCTTCTTCTGGTTTTGCAACGACGAACGGCAGAAGGTGAGAATATGTATATTTTTGAATAGTGAAGTGTTCATTCATGTTATGAAATTGTAATGTTACATACATATTTCTCCTAAATTGCATATAAACCTTAACCTAAATGTTTTTAACTGTACCTTCCCTCTTCTTTTCAGGTGAAGGGAATGAACCCAGAGTACGGAATTGGTGATGTTGCCAAAGAGTTGGGACGATTATGGGCACTGGCAGCACCTGAAACCAAGCAAAAGTACCAAGCCATGTCTGACAAGGACAAGGCCCGGTACGAGAGAGAGATGCACCTTTACAAGAGCAACCCCGCCCCTGCAGCAGCCCACGACGATGATGAAGAGGAAGAGAGCGACGACGAGTATTAAGCAGCATCTTATTACTAACGCCTCCCACCCCCCTCGTTCTTCTTTACCCTCCTCTCATCATCGTCAACTTAGTTGTTATTGTTATATTATTCATTGATCCATCTCATTATCCAACCTTTTTATCCTTTATTTTTGCAAATGAAAGCGAAAGCTTTGTTTGAGTGAGAGGTGTAAGTTTCAGTAAAAAGTACTCATTCATCATCAATGAATGACTTGTTTGTTATTTAATTGTTACAGTCTTAAGTAATTCAGTGCAGTTGACAGTGCAAAGTTTAAAAAACCAACGGCTAGGTTAAAATTTAAGAAAATGTGGCTGGCAAGCTGCATTAGCAGAGTAGTTTGAGTATAATCAGTGTATGTTAAATAATAATAATATTATACAAGCTCCCAGTAATTTTTTTTCTTCGTTCGTCGATGACAACAAGGTGACCAGAAGACCTTTCGTTGATGATGAGGCGTATGCATGACGTGTGTCGCTTTGTGTTGTTATTCATGGTGACGATCTATTATTGGCAGGCAGATTAGCAGATAGTGTGTACACGTATTGTAATTCTTAGTTTTACTGTAATAATAATTAATATTAAATGTATCATTGTTGTTTTTGATTATTATTGTTATTAATATAATTACTTACTGTTCCAATAATTCGTTTTATGTTGTTAACTTGTTTTTTTGTACGGTTGCTTTACATTATTACTACACCTACCTCTTCTATGTACCACACATTACATAATCCATGATCCATCACACACATAGCTACTGATGATGTAGACCGCACATCTTGTTAATGAGTCCAGTAGGAAAAGCTAACTTTTGTGGAGAATTGAAAATGATGAAATTACTTGTAACTTACAAATCCATACACACATCGTCAAATGTGAATAAATATTATTATACTAACTTTTTTGTAGTTAGTACTATTACTTATTAAATTGAATGAGAACAAAAACCAAACCAAAATCCGCTTTTCTACTTTGGATTTTGGTATGAAAGTAACTATTAAGATTTGAAAAATAAAGTGAATGTTAGGTTAAAATTTGAAACCCTCCTCCTTCCATAAATAAATGTTTTAATTGAATTAAGCCACCATTTTAACACATAGTTTTCGATCCGCAATGGTTGATAGTGCCGTCTTATTATTCTATATGCATATACACGAGCATAATCTAAAGAGCATACAGGTCATGCACAAGAATTTTAATTAGTCTGGCTGGCAGTGAGGAAAATGGGACTTTATACTCAGAATTAAGAAGTTAAGGCACACTTTTTATTAATCCAACCAAACCAATTTCATACTTTATTCACAACTTTTAATATCAATATGAACATGTAACATGAGATCAATGACATGTAATATATAACAATCAAATTACAACACAACTTTTTAATACTAATCGGCTAATCGTAAGCATATTTACCAATAACTACGTTTACAGATTAGGACTAATTAGGAGGAAATCTACTCGTCTTGAAAATTATATGTATACAGTTGTTTGTTGGCCTATATAAATTAATGTATAATAATCTGAATATAAAACATGTTACTAATGTATATTGTAGGTAACCACAACTTCAAAAAGGTGTTCCGAATAGCATGGACTCCAACTTTTCAAACTGTGGCATCACTGCACTTTTAGCTTCGAGTAAATCCATTGCTTCTTTTCGCAAGGCTTGAAGAGTTTGCCCTTTGTCTCCATCTGGGTCACCATCCAGTCTGATTGACCTTTTAATTTCAGTCATTCCTTTTTGGACGTTGATCATCCCATCGCAGATCTGGTCCACGCGCTTCTTCACTTCGTAATACTTCTGACATGTCTATAAAATAAACAGACCGGTACACATCATGAAATGCACATAAACATTTATTTATTAAGGAAAGGATTTTTACAAAGTGACACTAACCTTTCCTATATCCAGTAAGTGGCATAACTGTTTAGCATTGTCACAGCATAAGCTGTTGTACTCGGACACCAATTGGTTACATTCCTCAGATGTCAGGTCCTTGTCAGACTTTTTGAAATACTTCTTCAAAAGTTTTTTGTTAGTTTTAAGGTCGGAAATTGATTTGGTCGTCGGTTTGGGTAAAGAAGTTGCTGGTGAGGATGAAGGTTCTTCAAGAGGAGGATTGCAACTTGTCGCATCTACTGAAGCAAGATTAGCAATTTTATTTTTACAATTAGCATCTGATTGAGCAGCGTAACCAATCATAAATTCAATGCCGGTGTTTAGTAGCTCACTGATGTCGACACGTATCTTCATATCTTGATCTGTCTTGACGTTATTTTGATGTGATCGTGAACAAGCTCCAGCTGATGTACTAGAATGATTCATTATGGTTACATTTAAATTTACGAGTATTAATTAATGAAAGAGTGAGCAATAAAGCATAAACAAATGTCACTAACGGTTCAATTTTCTTCGGATTACTTGCCAATAGGTTATCGTACTGTCCATCTTGCCAAAGGTTCTGTAGGAATTCCATCATACTTGGCGTAATTTCGGCAACATGTTGATCCGCAAGCTCATTAAAAGAGTCCTTGACCCTATCATTCTCCATTTCTTTTTCGGTGGGTTCTTCTTCTTTAGTAATACAATTAAGAATAGAATACGAATTACAAATATGCAAACATATCGAAATGGTGAATGAAACTATGCCCTGACTCGGCCAGTCATATTATTTAAACTGATAACGAGAATTTTCAAAATTCCTGGTTAAAATTCTCTGGCAAATGAAATCTTCGAACTTGAAATCGAACACGAAAATTGTACATGACCAATATAAATACTTCATTACCTTCTTCAATATCAGGAGGTTCCACTTTCATCACCAAAGCTGCACGGATTAGCGATCTTCCTTCCGAAGTTTCCATTGTGGGCACAGAGACCACTGAAATACCCCGTCGTCCTCTTGCACTGCTACGAGTACTAGGACCTGGAGTAGTTAAAGTAGTAATTTCTGGTGGTGGTGGGGGTGTATATCCATTCATTGCCATCAATAACGCCTTCCGTTTAACCACAGCCACCAACATGTTCTCCAACTCGCCTTGAAGCTCATCAATATCGACGTGTTTTCCATTAAATTTTTCCAACGGAAGTATGGGCAACTTTAGTGTGTAAGGCGGAATATCGGGAATGTTTCTAGGGTCTGGGACAATATGACCAAGTAGGTCATCTTGAACCTCCAAACTTTGTTCTTCTGTTGTAGACACCACTTGTTCCCCAGTAGTAGTCCCCTCTTGAAGAGGAGGGGAAACTTCTGCTGCAGGGATGATCGTCTTGTCCTTGACTGTCGTTCTTTTCCTTCCTTTCTTCCAAGGCATCTTTATCCACCTGTTTTCAAACGACGAATCAAGAGATTGACAAATCTAGATAGATTTAGAGAAAACGCTATAATTTTACTATTGGTCCAACTCTAAATTTCTTGAAATTATGAATACCTTTATGGACCCTAAATTCAAAAAACACTCTACTTTTTGAACTTGGCCAGTCTATCAGCTTTTGCGAGTGCTGTTGACCTCCTCACCAGCAGAGAGCAGTAGTGGTAGTCACAACGATGAATATGAATTCTCAGTCTGAAGAGTGAGACTTGTGTATTTTTGAATGAGATGACTCGTCTCGAGCCCATGGTCATGGTCGTCATTTCACATGAAGACATGAACATCATCGATAACAACTTGACACTTGCAACAATGAATTTGTTTACTTTGCAAGCCTTACTTTGTGTTTTCCATTAGTGTTGTTTCCTTGAATGAATACATTCAACAAAATCATTTATCCGTCACGTCATCAATATCATCCAAGATTTGAAGCATCCACCATATGAGATCACATAATTTCATCCCTGTATTATACAAATACCTTTCTGCCAACAATAGTTGTCAGCTATTGTTGTGATATGTCACTCAACATGTGATAATAATAATAATAAAATGGAGAGAACAGCTCCATGATCGTGACCCAGTAAAAGTAGTCAAAGGCTGCATAAGCTTATAATTTCAGTCTTAAAACCTACAGTGCAGACTCCATATAGCCCGAGTCAGGGACGTAGTCCCTGACTTAATAAGTCAGAGCCCGCTTCTAATTTTTTTTCCGAATTGACCGACATAATATCACCAACTTCCGTGTTGTGGATGGTTAAAAGTCAGTCAGATAGTTTCTATTATTTGGTACCCAATTTTTGAATTAGTTACAAATCTTGTGCCTTGACCACCATGACCAGTGGGCTTCTTTAACATCCTGAAGTTCTAAGCTGTATGTACATATGTGCTATCCAGCCTCCATATCAAATTTCAGCTCGATATAACGATTTTGAAAACTCAGTATGGGTCACCCCATAGGGTCACTCTGGTTGCACTTTGCTCACTTTTAACTTCATATTCTTTAATTAGAAGCCATTAAGTATCATTGTGCCGGATTTCATCTTTTTAAAGCAATGTTGAAAAATCGGTATGGGTCACCCTATAGGGTCACTCAAGATGAAAATTTTTCCAACCTGAAGTTATTTTTTTCTATTAGGAACCATTAGCAACCTCTGTACCAAATTTCAGCTCTCTACAACAATTTTGAAATTTTGGTGCATAATGCCCCAACCACTCCGATGACCCCCACCGGTCAACCACTGGACCGATTTCGCCCATCTTCGAACTCGTTTCCTAACTTTGTCCAATATGCATACGGTAAAAATTTCAAGTCAATCGGTTCAGCCGTTTTGGCTCTATCGTGCCGGACAGACAGACAGACGGACGGACATGACGGTTCCATAAGCCCTGATTCGGGCTAAAAAGTCTCAATTTTCCCAACCCTTCCTTCATTCATACATGAAGTAGGGGACATGTTTTAACGGTTAAAAGGTTCCAGAGTCCGTTGCTCCATCCATTGTACATAACATTATGGGAAAAGTAATACAAAAGGACGACCAATATTAAGGAACAGCATGCAGCAGCAGCCCCTTTTTTCCATGCACAAACCGGTCCGTTAAAGCAAATACTTGTAGGCGAGGAAGGAACCCTGCATTCCTGATTCCGTAGTGTGAAGGCCCTGCTACATACATATGCCAGTAAGTTATAAGCTCTATTGCAGTATGGCTTCAGTACTTCAGTGTCCCTGATCAGGGCTAAAAAGGTGAATTTCAATTCTTCTGCCATGCATTTACCACCAGTGATGATGAGTTCTTTACCTTTTGTGGTCTCTGTCTCACATGTGGAAAAGTGCATTGTCATTTTCCCCTCATAAATGTGTCTTTAGTTCTCTAGTTGCTTTTGGTATACTGGCTCAACTACTAATTAGCAGAGATAAGTCCTGACATTGAAATGCAATGAATTTGACATGCATGGAAGACTTGATTGGGTACTTGTAAACTCCACATTTTCCACAATTCAGCCCATTCTTCTTCCCAAACTAAAATAACAGTTTCTTTGCATCTGTTTATTTCCGCATGCACAAATTTGACAAAAAAAAAAGATTTTAGTTTAATCTGCCACCCGTGAATATTCTCCAAGCATCCAGAAAATCATATATAGTTTACTTTATGCTCATGCATTACATGCACAAATACATACACCCATCAATCACATTAACGTCGATTGTTATCGTCTCACTTTTTCGAAATGCCCAATACGCCAATAAGTATTATCGCCTCGCCATGTTTTGTCGTTGCATCACCACAGCCAAATTACGCTCATCTCATTCACCGTCCAAATAATAAGTGTTTGAAATATTTACTCATTTCCAATTTATTTGTTTGCTCTGTAAAGACGAACGAGCGAATATTACGAAAACGAGGAATCTGCCATTGTTGGCTTGTTGCTTTTGCTTATTGTTGTTACACAACAAAAGTGATCCACATTATTACTCGATTCGTCTACACAGGCCACTAAATAACTCCCTTCCACTTGTTATGAACGAGATGAGATCACTCCGTGAAATTATGCATTTTTAAATGTCATCTTGGGGCACTCATTTTTTCCCTTTATTCTGACAATGATCTTATCCCTGTTGTAATGACTTCATTAAACTATTAAACTCAATTTTTTACCTTTGATTGTCGCCTTTTTTAATTATATACATAATTACAAGAAAAACTGAATCGTGGCCGTGCGTTGGTTCACAGTTAGTCAACACACTGGAATCCATATTCTGGTATTATCTCTTTCTTTTTTTTTTACTTATTACTGCATTTTTAATTAGAAGCTGGTGATAATGATTATTGTGCAAGAAGATGATGATGATTGTATAATTATTAGTCTAATTAGCGCATAATTAAATTAAAACATCAATTATAGCACATTTTTACAGCCTGATTATTTGATTTCTCAGTCATGTTTGTACACACGAGACTGGGCATGCAACATCATCATACATGATAACACAATCACAATGCTGTAATCTAGTTAGTTGTGACCAACAAGGCTTGTTCTCGGTCAAATAAATAAATCAAACCGTTCATCCGTGCAAAAATAATAATGCGTCTCTCTCCGCTCTGACTGGGCCATCGTAATTTCGCAGAATGACAAAGAAATGCACTCGCTTTTACTCACCTTCGCTATTTTACTCTGAAAATCATCATCAAAAATCTGTTACAAAATTCATCCAATTTTTATTACGCAAATAAAATAAATGCAACAAAATCCCCGTCGGCGCATTCAACTTGGTTCACTGCTAATAAGTCGTAATAAATATTTATCTAGGCAGCAATAAATTAGGGATGAACTCTTAAGTTGGTGGAAATTGAATGGGATTATTCTACTTCTTTCTTGTTGCATTACTTGTTCTTTTGCTCTCGTGCTTTCATTGCTCAACGTAAAATAATTCCTTCATTAGTCGGAGAGCAGATGAGGAATGTGTGTAATAAATAATAATTTATGGGTCATATAATTTTGCCGATCGGCATGCAAAGCTGACGACCAATTAAGCCCATTTCGGCCACTAAGTGCCCCCCGCGGTGGCTTTCTTTCGTTATTAAGTGGTCATTTTGTTAGGGACGCGTGCTTGGAATACGCACCAAATATTAATTCTTGGTCTAATTGCTTGCAAATCCTGAATCAAAAAGGATTAGCGCAGTGCAACGGGGAGTAATAGTTTCCTGATGTGTAATGGCACTAATTTTCTTACGAAGGTATATTTCCTTGAATTATTTCTAATAACTCCGAATCATTCAGCCTCTGTTGTTGCAAGACAAGAGTGATTGAGAATTCCTTGTGATTTTTTTAATCCGTAATGAATATATCCATTTCATGGACTTTTTTCATTATTCTTGCTCATACGCAAACACCTTCGTCCCTTCTTCTTTAGGTCTTCTTCATTGTCGTGCTAAAAACTATTGCGAGAGGGACGGTGCAGGCAGAATTAAGTACAATAAATACGGAATTATGAATATTGAAGGGTAAAAATGGCCAGTCTTGGTCCCCTCAACTTGACGGAATCACTTTGTTTCATTGATTTCATTATGCTTTGTTTGATCCCAGTGTGTGCATTAATGTCATTTTGGTCATATCATTTTGGTCCGTCGGACAGCATGGGACGTTGGTGGATGAGTATCCATGATGGAAAATAAGCTGGTTATTCATTCAAGTTGAAGAATGGTGGAAAAGTCAATATTGATTTTGTTTTGTGAATTGATCTCCATATTTGAGGCTCTCACACACAAAAAGGGATTCTCATGGGGAATAATAAGTGTCCATGTTTGGTGGAAACTTGGCGCAGAATGCACACACATCTCCATCAAACGAGAATTCAGGCAGGGTCGCCGCTAAGATGACCACACGCATGCATAACACTCACATTTTATGCCAACAGCAATTAGTGGACTTGGACGTCACGTCACGACGACAGTTTGTCAACACTTTTGGGCTTAACAAGGAACACGCGTGATTTGATGCTTATCTTCTTCGCCATCATCCTCATGAGAGAGAGATGCCAAATAATAAATGGTGTGGCAGATTGGGGCGGGTTTTTGACACTGCATGATCATCTTTTCTTTCTTACGGAATCCTCCAAAGCAGCAATGATGACGATGATATAATAATAATGAATGACTTAATTTGGTTAATTTGATTTTGATCGTGCCGAGGTTTGATTGGAATTGTAAGGTTGGCTGAGATGAGTCTTTTATTTAACTGCCAACAAGTACAATGCAGCCTTCTACTTCCTTATCCTTCTTAACAACAAATCAGGGTTGCCCATGCACCATTAACTTACGTTTAAACTGAGGAGGCTATAAAGTGATCACTTCCTTCCGAATGACATCATTTCCGATCCAATTTTTGACACTTGACGTGAATCCACCTTGAATTTGGTCACGATATCAGAAAGTAAGCACAATAACTCCCTCATTTTAGTAGCCTTTATTGACCAGACTAGTTTTTAAATACTCATCGGAACTGGATTATTTGAGATGATCTGCAATAGACATGAGCTAGACTCTGGTCCTTGAACAGTTGAGCAGCTTATGGGGTTGGGTGCATGGGATCATCATCATCGAATGTAATCATTGGGAATGATGCACTTCTTTGAGTCTGTAATAACAATAATGAATTGGATTGTGCAACGGTGGCAGAAATGATAAGGGTGATGT